TATTTTAAGTGCTTCAAATTAATTAGTCTACTCTTAAAAATTCTATGAAACTAAGTGAACAAAATACATTAGCATATAGGTTATGATTTTAGAAACCTAACAAAATTAGTGTCACAATTTTTGGACATCTAAACAAATTTATCTTGAATTTACAAATTTACCTTTAGAAATTAAATTAGAAAACACTTTAGAAAAACAAAGGGTCGGTGGACAATGATTCAGCCCTACAGCCGAGCCTGGCCCAACGCGGGACATGGGCGCGCGCAGCAGGTCGGCCTAGCGGCCCAGCGCGGAGCGCGGCTCATGATGGGGAGCCCGCGCTGGAACTTTAGCAAATGAGCCCTCGGACTTTTCCCGAACCACAATTAGGTCCTAATACTATTTCTTTCTTTCTCTAGTGAAATCACTTAACCCCCTGGATTTTACCAAATTTACCCGCACGCAGCCCTGGTCATCCCGTGCACGGCAACGCGGTGAGCGGCGGCACTGGGCATCCACGTCGACCAACAAAGGCCCGCGGACCCACCTAGCGGGTCGGTCGCCCTCTAGGGCTACATGCGCTACGATGGGCGGTGGTTAGGGACTCGGAGACGCACTGGCGCGAGCTGCAGCGGCAAGCGGCTATCCACGGTGGCGGCGTGACTGTTCCAGCGAGCCTACGCCCTCATGGCAAGGTAGAGATGGAGGAGAAGCATCAGTAGCTCATCGTGGTACACTCCCCACTGACGGTTGAAGCAGGGGAGCACTGCAATCGTCTGGCCACGGGCGACCGAGCGGTGCGGTGGCGCTCTGCAATGGAGACCGACGCGTCACACCACCGACGATGAGCACCCTGGCCAAAACAGTGCGAGCACTGGATAGAGGGAGTCAAGGCGAGCTCAGGGTTACGAGCAATTGAACTGCTACCACGCCTACATGCCTTACCCCCAACCTTCTGGTCACGGCGGTGCACGTGACCGACGGCAAGCAAAAACGCCAATTTACCGGTGGGTAGTGACCGGCCGAGCTTGAGGGGAAGCGGACATCTAGCTGACTACCTATGCTACTCACTAGTGTGAGGAATTGGACTAAGAAGCCTTGAGCTAGGCGAATTGAAGGAGCAGAGAGCGCGGTGCCTCGAATGCGACAGTGACTCCGACCACGTGCTGGCGTGGCACTACCGATATACACAACCCGTCCTCTCCTCCCTATCTCGCAGGCGGGGCGATACGCACCATTGTGGCAACAGAGGTAGATGGGATGAGCAGCTAGGATCGTGCCACGGGACACAGCAGCGGCGTGGCGGTAGGTGAGGTGCGTGGCCAGAGCGCGTGTGCACGAGAGGGTGGCTGCGACCAAGACACATGGCTCGACGCGGTAGAGGAATTGGAGGGCAGAGCGACTACCATGCTGACTTGGCAACGATGGCCGCAACCATGGCTTGACTCCGCGTGCGGCTCGATAGCCAAATGGTGGCGCGCGCGCATGACAGTGGAAACCAGGCCACAGCCGATCGGAGCCAGCCATCGTGAGGCCAAGGCGCTGCGTGGCATGACTCGGACGCGCGAGCTGGCCAGCGGCAGCAGGCCAGCCACGTCATGAGCCTGGCGCCAGCAGTGCCCACGCGCGCGGTGTTTGTGAACTCGGGCCGAGAGGTATCAACTGGTGCCATGCACGCATTTTAAAGCAAAGCAAAAGCCGCTAACGATCACGATCGAGGCTCAACTAATTCCCCTAACGTAAAGTCGATACTAACACCCAGCTAACAAAGCAAACCTCATGTCCAGAGAGCGACCAGAGGGGGAGATACAATAATGCCAACTAGGGTTCATCGCTGGAGTGCCGGTTCGCGAACGGAGCGCCAACAACGCGGTTACAACGCGTTCTAATGAAGTTTGGACAATTTTAGAGCGGACAACGTGACATCCAATACAATGTCGACCTATGCCATGCTCAAGCACTCACTTTGATGCAATCAACAATACCAAAACGTGCAACTAGTGTTTAAATATTTTTGTTAGAAATTAAATGTCAAAATAGCATTGTGTTACTACTGTTCCATACTAGGAAAGCTAAGGGTTTCAATTGAGGTTAAGTAACCATTAACTCTTTTGTCACAATTTTAAATAGATCTAAACCTTGTTAACTTCAACCAACAAATACTTCATGCAACAGTCCATACCTTATACTAACACGTGGAAGCAAAATATTTAAGCACCATTTAACTAATTCGCTCAATATAATTCACCAAAATGGTATTTTAACAATCGTTCAAGTGCTTGCCGACTTAACGAAAAGAGCTTATCTTAACGTCAAGTTTGATTTTTGGGTTCCCAAAACACCAGTTAACAACATCTATTTTCCAAAAGTTAAAGTTGCATTGTCATCTACCAAGTTTGTACTTCCAACTTTATTTAAGTGCCACATACATGTTCTATAGTATTTTTGCTTAATAAAAATTGGTTTTAAACCCTAAGTGATATAACATAACTATTGAATCGACTTTCGTTTAGCACTTTTATTGATCGTTTTGAGTTACGAAAATTGATCTACATACTTTATCACATGCATTTTCACATAAACATGATGTTCGTGACATAGTTTAGCAAGTTGTTTAAGCGGTAACACCGAGGGTGTTACACTACGAAGGTCCTCCACACTAGGCGCAATCTTGAAGCTTAAGTGCCTATTTGTTTGGGTTTTGAGAGCTTTTGAATCTCAACTTTTTTTAACAAAACTGGAGGAGCCAGACCCCTACATAGCTTTATTAAACTAAGTTAAAAGAACATGAAAACAGAATGCTCCCTCTGTCCTAGAAAAAGTGATGTTCTGGATTTTTTCAGACAGATTAGTGGAGAAGAGAAATGTCCCTAATACCCTTAGTATATCACACATGATTCCCTTAAAAAAGGATGTCGCGTGGTGTACTTCCTAATTAAGATGCACTGCATGCAAGCATGTAGAGATCTAAGGCAGGCAACAAACAGTAGCGCGTCTCAATTGATAACTTGGTCCCGGATCTATGGCCTCACAGTGTGTCTAAAACTCAGAACAATAATTTTTTCTGGGACAAATTTTAAATCACAGAACATCACTTTTTCTAAGATGGGGGAGTAGAAAAGAACCTCAACTTTTGGATCTTTCAAAAGCCAAAAAGTTTCTAAAAGCCAAAAGCCAGAAATTAGCTTTTAGGCTTTTGACTTTTGAAAAGTCTAAAAGCTAGTAGTTTAAAAGTGGCCAAAAGTTCAAACAAACAGGGCCTAAAACACCCAAAACGCCAGCCACGTTGCTTCGAGGAGGTACCAAACCTAAAAACAGAAAATTTACTGAGATGAAACTAGAGGAGAACTGCCTTGGTGAAACCTAAGAAAAATTGTTGAGCTGACAACCATCAAAAGGAACAATTACAAAATAAAAACCCATTTGGGAACAATTACAAATTTAAAATAATAACCATGTATCTCACAATGTCTTTGATATCCAGTTTTTTTTAAAAACACTACGATACAAACTGTATGACTTTGGGTCGTGCCATACTACATTGGTTTGACCCATTTCGTGCCTTGTGCCACATCGTATTGTCTTAGTCGGTACATATTGTGACATTCTAGGGACCATGCTAACATTCTAAGTACAAGAAAGCTCTCATACCCCTGTTGTGCCACGACCATCCAAATTTTATTCTGTTATATCAAAAGAAGTTGCCCGAACAACTCCAGAAATGGCATGGTACAAGTCACTGATCTACACAACATAATAATGTCATATGTTTTTGCCAACATGGAGCCACTGATGTAAGTGTTTATTAGAGTTAGGTACATATCTCCAATGGTATAAACTTAACTTTTGTTTAGAGTTTCCACAAAAGAATCACAAATGCAAAGCTTAGGCGTGGTTAGAGCATCTTCAAGAGTTTGCTATCTCAACTTGGCATCCATATAATTTTGGCAAAACAAGAAAAAATAGCCTCCAACAGTTTGGCAAAATAACTTGGCATCAATAGCAACTTGACAAATCTTCCCTCCGCGCGCGCAAATATACGCGCGCGTATACGGCTTGGCATCCGGGGCTCTTCGTTTCTTAGCGGGGCTCTTCGTTCGCTTAGCGGGGCTCTTCGTTCGCTTAGCGGGTCTCTTCGTTTTGTTAACAAGTTTTTTATTTTACCAAGTCAAAAATGCCAAACTCTTGGAGATGGATTGTTTTTTTTACTTGGCATATAATTTTGGGAGTTGGCAAATCACAAGATTTGCCAAGTAAAATTTGACAAACTCTTGGAGATGCTCTTACACATGTCTTCGTCATTGTCGCATAAACGATCATAGTCCGTTTGCAGACCATTTAAACAGTACACAATAGTACATTGTTTCTATTTAATCATCCGTTTTTCCTGTTTGATTGGCTCGTTTAGCTTGAATAATAGCTTTGTTCATTTAGTATTTAGAATAACACTCGTCTTCGTTATATGCTCATCCACCCTAACACGATGAATAAACATAAATAAGCACACGAACCATGTTGAGACGATTACATGCTTATTAAGCAAACTGGCGGGATGGCTTTTTGAATGAAGGGATGGGCATTTACAACAAATCGCCATATGGTGCAAGTCGAGAAATACTACAAATTACCTTGTGGGTGAACCTCAAAATTTAATTAACATATGAGTGTTTTTTTTAATTTTTTTTTTTCATCAAGGGAAAATAAACCCATGTGTAGTCTACTGGACTACTGGAGTACTGGGCTGTCACGGTCTCACGGACCGGCAGCCCAGGTCTCGGGTCTCGGCAAGGCCGGCAAGGGCAATGCGCGCGCACGGCGCACTCCACTAGGCCGCCACCTCCCGAACCCCATACGGCCGCCCCTTCCGCTCCTCGCCTCCTCACCTCCGACCGAGTCCCGGCCGGCCGATCCTGACGCCGGCCGCGTGGCTCGCCCCCAAGCCCCAACCGCGTCGTCCGTGAGCTCCCGCTATTAGTGGCAGCTAGTTCCCTCCCTCCGCCCGCTGTCCTGAGCGGTGGGTCATGGAGTTCACTTTCGAGGATGCAGAGGAACTGTGCTCGCTCGTTTCGAGCCAGCAATCCCAAGTCGACGAGAAGCGGAGGTCGGTGTGGTTTCTCCTTCCGGCACACCTCCGATCAGAATGCACTTTCGTTTTCCCACCCTGCTTCACAAAAGATTCGGGGCCCTCTTAATTTGCAGGTGGCTGGAGTTGATGATCCTCAAACCGGATGGCTGCATCAGGCGTGCGAAGCGACCCAAGTTTTTGGATGACGTGTAAGTGTGCGCCGACTTCTGAGGCGAGAGTAGTGTTCTAGTTCTGGGTTTTTTGCTTGGTCCCTTTACTAAATTCTCTGAAGCTTAGTGTTTTATTGCCCAACCGGGCTGGAAATTTATCCATATCACAATGAAATTTGATTTTGCACATTCAATGGTAAATCCATTTTGGGTGGTAATTTTCTCATGCATAATTGTGTTTCTTAAGCACTTCTCGCACTGTAGATGCCATAGCAATGCTTTGATGCATTCTGAAAAGCTGAAAATTATTTTGCTAAATGCTACCCCATTATGTGTAATGACATCTATCTTGCTCTGAAATGTTTCCCCATCGAACTTTGTTTCCCTAATTTACATCCCCCCTCCTCCCCCGGCACACACACACAAATAACACTCAGGATGCTCAGGATGTATGTAGTGACTATAATAAGTCTAATTGTTAGTTCTCTGCTTATGCAGGTACTTGCCAGAGTCATATATCAGGAGTGAAGAAGTAAGTGTTTAGTACTTTAGAAAGAACTATGTATACCTTAAAGTTTCTTTTACATTCTTACTAACATCAGCTCACGGCTCATGTACTATGTGCACATATGGTTTCTCCTCTCGAGTACATTAGCTGGATACCCACTTATTCAAATCCCTCCACCTATATGTTTAGGTCTTTAAGGTATTAGCCAAATATGTGAAGTAATCAATATTCTATTTTTCCATGTATAATTTTTACTCAAGAATAAGCCAGGTGTGTACTCAAAGGACTTTATTTCAATAAATAGCTAAATACATAATGCTTAAAACTTATGGAAGAGCACGTCAGCGCCCAGTTAGGAACTATTGCACGTGGTACTCGTGCTATGTATGTTGTTGTTTTGAACATGGTTTCAATTTAATTGTATTTCTCCAAAAATGTTTTTGTTATTGCGATATAAATTTTCCTTACCCTGCAATGAGCTTACAATCATTTTGGAACCATTTATCAGTTTCCTGACTTTCTAGTTAACATAACAGCAATTTCTGCTGCATTATTTCAGTTCAAAACATAAAATGTGAACTTAGTGGGGACTTTTTTCAGATATCTTGCGAGAAAGTGAGAGGTAGCATTAAAAAAGTTTGGAGTTCAGAGTGCAATGGCTATACCCATCACTTAGTTCAGGAGGGCCTCCAGCTTTTTAATTTCCAGAAGAAGGAAAATGAACCACTTGGTCCAGAATATCTTGGTGTCATGCAGGACACAATCAGCAAATTGACCTATGAAACACTTCATTCAGTGGCTTGTATCGTCAGTCATAACAGGTTTACTTTTGATAAGACTAGGTCTGTAATGGAAAATCTTGTAAAATCTCACCTTCCAAGTTACTTGGCCAGCTTGGATCAGAAAGACATCGTATGCCAGCTATTCAATATTTTTAGAAATCCATGCAGCTATCGATCTGGTTCTGTGAGGCTTGTCACACCTGTGTCACCACAACTTTTGTCTGCTATCAATCATGCGTTGGATGAGCTTGAAGGAATGCCCATGCAGGGTCTTCTTGCAATGAATAGGAAGATTAGAGGAAAACCGTGTACCCCCAAATTTGGATTAATTGCTCGCTCTTCCACAAGAGCACATATAATCAAAATGGTAAGGAAAAGGTGCAACAAGATTTTAACAGAACTTGAGGAAGGTAATTACCTGCCAAAGAAATTAGCAAAGGCAATGTCAGTGGTGAACCTATATCAGAAGCAAAAGCTGAGAAGCGTGAGTATTTCGCAATCAGAGTTCTTCCCCTTTGCAAAAGAAACTATATCTTTGCAGAATGATATCCTGAATGCCCTTTGGTCACTTCCAAAAATCAAGCATGAGAAGCTGAAATTACTGCGCCCCATACTGGATCATGATTCTAAAGTTGAAAGGACGCACTTAAGAGCAGCTTTGAGGACCTACTTGTCAGAATGTTTGTTTGGATGTGATGATGATCTACCAGATGAGGCCCTCCGAGCCATAGCCTTTATAAATCGGATTTCTAGATGTCAGCATGTTGTGTTAACAGAAGAGAGGAAGGAGGCTGAGGTTGATGCTGTACTGAACTTAAGCAGTCATCTCAAAGCTTTAGCACATTGTTGTATAGAAGAATGTTCATGCGAAGAGTTGATTAGCTTAGGGAATGATTGCTGCAATGAGGATAACGATTTCATACTTTCTGGGACCAACTACTTCAATTTAAGCTCCGAGCATCAGGAGATGCATGAGCCTTGTCGTTCTAGTAGTTTATTGGGCATTGATATTACGAGATTGAGTTGCTGGGGTGAAACTATTGGCGATACACATAATGTCTCGAGAGCTGAGGATTCTGGTTCCAAATCAGAAGCACTTGGGAAACCATGTGACAGGGCTGAAGACTCTAGAAGCACTAGGCATTGCAGAGACAACGAAGCTGTTGACAGTGACATGGAGCCCTATGCAGAGATGTCTGTTGATGCGAACCATTTAAAGAAGCCAAGATGTTCAGAGATTACTGGGATCTGTGATGAAACTTCAATATTGGCCCATTCGATTATTGGGCAGATTTTAGATGAATGGTTGCCTGCGGAGAACAATGAAGTGGACAAGCTGACTAGAGGCCATCTTGGAGGGGGATTGATGCCTCAAGGTCCCCAAGGTACATTGTGAACCATCATCAAACCTTTTTCCTTTTATGATGCGTAATGGGTTTATATAGTTTATACTTCGTAGGTCGTAATCCCTTTGTAAGCTGATGGGTAATGGGTTCCTTGTTTCCTTTGCTAGATGATGATAATAGGCCCGCTAATTCAGCAGAGAACATAGAAGGTGAAATTTTTATTCGTGCTGTGGAACGTGTCTTGCCTAATTTGCCAAAAAGGTAGTCCTTTCTTTTTCCTTTATCCATCTTTTGCGCAATCATGCTCTATATGATTTTATAACACCGTGCGTTTGTGCAGTTGCATAGACAAAGTCAAGAGGCTAATGAGCTGAGCTAAGCAAGTACGGTGAGAACGACCTGCAATGGCCCCAATGGACCCGATACATTTTCCATTTTGTTTCTTCAAACAGCGTTATCGGACCTGTGTTGAGTGTGACTAAACACTATCTCGTGTACTATGCACTTCCGTCTGTGGCAAACTTTTGACTTTTCTGCATACTGAATGCTATCGGGTATGTAGTGGTAATTGTGCATCCCGTCATCGAAAATATGAACGTGAAGCTAAGCTCAAGCAATAGCAAGGTTATATAGTTCTGGTACCTACTTGCTGTGAATCCATTATATTCATGTCCAGTGCAACTAGTTCATCTTCAATAATCATAATGAAATTTCAGAGTTATAGTAATCTAACACATTCAACAGTGTTTGAATTCCACTCTACAACCGCCTTGACTAGAAAATATGACATTTATTGCAGAGTTTGAATTCCACCTCTAGAACCACCTTGACTAGAAAACATGACATGTATTGTGGTCACACGTCCACAACATCAGAGTTCGTATATGAGTAAAAACTTGTTACCAGAAACCACCAATGTTGAATAATAGATACTATCTCCATTCTAAATTGTAAGTCATTCTAGCTTTTCTAGATAATAGCTTTTGGTACATACCAAGATATACATTATGTCATACATGATAAAAGAGGAGCTATGACTAAAAAAGCTAGAACAACTTACAATTTGGAACTAAGGGAGTACATGGCATGGGCAAATTAACTTGATCCTAATGCATATAAAGCGTAAAAAAAGTATGACAAATCGCTACCACATTCTGTTTACACGATAAACACCAGCTAGCATAACAATATGATAAGCATAGATTATGTCAGATCCTATCCCTTAGTTATAATGCAACGAGCTGATGCCTTTCTCCGGTTGGACCTGAGGCAATGCAATCTAGCTCCCTAAACTTCAAGGAGGCTTCCTTACTCCTAGTACCGATCTCGTCGTTCATAATGCCTGCAGAAAGATGCAAAACAAAGTCAGATACACCTTTACCAAAAACACAAGTTAGATAACTTGTTACCACATGAAGTTGCAGTTAATAACCTTAATACATTATATCCTTGTTTAAAGACAACAACCAGTGTTACCACAATAGCAAGAGATAATTAAGAAAGCGGCTCTTTGGAGTTCCATTAATACATGCCAACTAAACTAGAAGTAAACGTACCCAGATCGATCATAATCCCTAGAACTTCCCCTTGGTGAACGTGACCTGCGGTGGCTTCTGGAATCATAACTACGAGACCGCCCGGAATCTCGTTCTCTTTCCCTATCATGGTAGCGATCATGGCTTCTTCTGCGGTCATAATCCCTGTCACGGCTGCTGCTGCAGTCTCCTCTGTAGTGATCCCTGCTCAAAGCCCTGGCACGTTCCCCACTCCTTTCCCTGGACCTAGTGTTAAAGAGTACATTAGACCAAGCTTTGAAGACTTCTAGCAGTTCTAGCACTATCATAAATAGAAATACTGAATTGATACTAGCAAGGCTTCAAAAGGACAGGGAAAAATATCACCTTCTGTCATACTCAGCTCGGTCTAACTTCCGCTTTTTGTTCTTTTCTTCCTGTACATATAAAAGGGACAGAAACAAGATCATGTCACGCTCACATAAAAACAACCAAACACTAATAAAACCGATCAAGTTTTCAGTAAAGTTAACAAAATCCAGTAAGCTTCACTCAGAATATCACATGATTTATTACAAAAACAAACCTGCAGTTCAGACAATCTCTCGCGTATAAGCATATAACCCATATGAAGTTTCCCCCCAAAATGATCTGCCAGGCGACGGTCACTGTGGGGCAAAAGAGAAATTAGCTATGCTGGTAACTGTAAATAAATTATACATTATCATATAACAAAGTTTATGATAATTTATTAAAGCCTTAAAAAACTACTTCACATGGTAATAGTACATAGTACATGTATAATAAACACGCACATTCTTTAGCTGCAAAAGTAATCCTCGTAAAAGTGGGCCCAAAAGCCTGCTGGTGAAAAAGGAGGTACATATGTCCGTCAAAAGCTGAAGAACTGGAAAAAAGAACCCAAACTCTGCGATATCCATGGTCCTAGTAGTACAAGTCGATCCAGCAGCTAAACAAGAGTTTACCTGTCATATACGCTCAAGAATGCTCCACATATGTCGCACAGGCGCAGCTTTTGATCAGTCTAAACAAAAATAGAAAAAAAAGGATATTATTACCATTGAAACAATACCACAAAATACCAATTCTACAATTCTTTCTATACTAAGATTACCAACAAAAAATATGTGAAAAGAGATTTAGCATGTGGAGATTTTAATCAGGTAAACAGTAAACAATAGAATACTAAAAATAAAAAACTCATGATATTCATGAAAAAAGATACAAGGATTTTGAACAAAACTAAAAGGCAATAATGACTTTTTTCACATGGAACGAGCAAGGGCAGTTCACCAAACTTACAATCTGGACATGAGCTGACATTTTTGTTGAGTCTGGAACAGCCTGTGGTCGGGCGCTCAGCTGGTTAGATATGACAAGACAATCCTGTCAGTAAGCTGATAGAATTCTGACAAAGTTACATATTAAAAGAAAACACCAACCTTCTTGAGAGCTTCTGCCTCATCCAACATTTTTTGAGCTTCATCAACCATCCCATTCTCACCTGTTCAACATAAAATTGAGAGATCACTAGGCACCTCATGATATATGCAAGGAGACGAGGGTAGAACAGCCATACCAATAGAGATTTGCATTTAGCAGTTAAGGGGAGCAAAGTATTGGAAGCAAAAGAAGAGCAAAAGGTAAATACCTAGTTCTTCTGCCTTTTTCAGTTTCTCATTTATCATTTCTTGTGTCCGTGCATCCGGAGCAGCAGGGGGAACATGTGTAGTTGTTTGAGTGGCATTTTGAAGAGAATTTATTAAAGAAGCACGGTCTTTGTTAAAAGCTTCAAGTAACATCTTTGCCTGAAATAATATAAGAAAAGAAAACTGATAAATGAGTGACCTTTGTTCTTTTAAAAATAAGAGGATGGTTAAAAATTCAGCTATATAAATACCTGCTCTTCTGCCCTTTGTTCTTTTAGCTTGTCAAGTTCTTCAGTGGCCCGAATTTTTCCCTCGGTGTTACCCTCAAGATCTAGAGTACAAGGTAGATCATACACCAAGATGAAGAATTTAATGTACTGAATGTACGGGGAAGAAGGCTTCAAAAAAATTGCTTTGGCATAAAGTAAACACACAGAAACCAGAATGGAACTACCAGAGTAAGAAAAATATTCCAAAACAAGGATGGGCTTTAGTCCATTATTGCCTAACCATAATAGGCAAGATGACAAGAAAATTACTACATGAGTCAATAGAGAAGGTCAGAGCATTTCAGGAAGGTTTGATTGTTCAGATCAAATTTCCATGCGGCCATGCCCCCCTTCACAGTGACTTCAGATACTTGAGAAAACACTACATGTTCTAAGGATCTTTTTAAATACATTGCCCTGCTATTTCATTATCATATAATCGTTATTGTTAAAGGAGGTCAAGCAAAAAGGCATTTTTTTTAACCATGCGGGCATGCACTAAAACAATAGTGATTATTAGGTTATTGGTGTACTGTACATAATTGTGATCAAATATGCAAAATACTAAAATAAACAAATCATACATTTCAAGAACAACATAATATCTTGTCACCGAACAGATCCCATGTGAAAAGTTTAAATAGACTAGGCTAACTCAAGGCATAAGAAGAAAAAACATGCTACTATCAAGCTGCCACAAACATGTCAATCTCCAAATAGCATTAAGCATATAATAGAGTGAGCAAATCATATGTGTGGACACAAACTTCTTTACTGTTGCAATTGTGGCCATGATGGAACACATAAAAAAGCAGAGACTACCAAACTTACCAAAAGCATCAATATCCTTCATCTTCTGCCTAATTTGTTTGGATAACTCCATTACTTCTTTGGTCTGCATTAAGCACACACAAACTTCATTGCTCAGTTTATCTAAACAACTGAACAATCAAAGTTAGTTTGGAGGGAACAAGAGTAGAATAACAGAATGTACCTGTGTAACCTCAGTGACAGAAATAGCAATAGCTGCCTTAGAGTCGTCCTCCTCCAAACGCTTAAGGGCTCTCTGAATCTTCCTTTCACACTCAACAATTAGTCTTTCAATGGTTTCTTCCAATTCGCGGTCATAGTTATCAGTACCTTTGGCTTTGGCTTTGGCTTCTTCATATCTATTGTCACACTCAGGAAGACATAGAACTGAGTAATTTCAACCAATTGCCAACATACAATTAAGACAACAATGGTAATAAGGGTGGGGAATGTAAGCCTTCCAGTTGTTCCAACAACTCTGCACTATTGAACAACAAATATGGAACCTCCAGGAGTTCCTAGTTTCACTCAAGACCATAATAATCCACAAACAGAACCACATCTAGTTATCCAGTTTCACTCAAGACCATAATAATCCACAAACAGAACCACACCTAGTTATCCAGTAGATTCTTTGATCATCAATTCAAACCATTTGAACCTAATGTGTGCACAATGCCACAAATGATCATAATTAAGACAAAACTTGGGAGTTCATTGATTAGAAAGAAAAAAAGACAAATATCATGGGTGCCTCAGAGTTCACTGCTAGCCCTAGCGGCCTAGCCTCAGGGAATGCATCAAAACTACCCTGAGAGCCCAAGCCACTAATGTTGGTTCACAATTCACATTATTTAGCAAGAGGAGACTTGATTCTGAAGCATCCATAAAGCAACCCCATTGCCCGGATCATTGCAAATATGAAACTACAACACAATGCTAACCTAACAAAAGATTTTATGCTTCATCTCAATCACTGTTAAAGTCACAAGATAAAAAAAAAAAAAATGCAGTAGCATCGCATGTGCAGCCACTCAGGCCACAAATTGCAAACTAATATCGTAATATCGAACTCATTAGATTTGGCCAATTCATTTCACCATCACCTCAGAAATACCAACCGAGTATACACTGTGACTTCCTACCGAACCCTTAGGCAGACGAAAAAAAAAGAATCAGATGATGCTATGAATCGTTGAATTGGTTTTTACACATCAAGCCTCACTCAAAAACTAACTAACCCCCACAAACAAATACACAAAATAACTAACCCCCACAAACAAATACACAAAATGAAGTAACTCTTGGCTTGGAAGGATACTCTTTGCGCAGTTGCAGCGAGTGCAGCTTCGGGCACGGCCCCATGTCCATCTTCTGCAATACACAAACAAATAGAAATTAAAAATCAACACCAAAACCCAGGAACCGCGCGACAACCCAACCCAGATCTACTCGAACGTTCTAGATTAGTGAGGTTATGGAATGAGGGGAACAAGGGCAGTAGGACACATACGGTAAGCTGGAAGAGGTCGTGGGGGCAGAGGCCTGCGAGGTAGAGGCGACAGACGTCGCGATCATAGTACTTGCGGCTGACCTCCCGCACGTCGCCGTTGCGGTTGGCGCCCATGAGCTGGTCGAGCTGCTTCCGGATGGCGTCCATGTCGCCGTGCGTGGGACTTCGCTCCCGTCCCCTAGCCTAGGGTTTTCGCTCGCGAAGAGGGCGAGACGGGGCGGCGGCAGCGAATCGGGACCGTTTGGCGAATCGGACTTCCGAGAGGAGGAAGAAGGATACAAAGATGGGATTGGGTTGGAATACTGGATGCTTCTGGAGTGTGGCGAACTCGAGCCCCCCCGCACGGCTCGTGCTCGATAAAGTGACTCTCCTTGAGGGCTTTTTTTTTTCAAAAATTAACATCAATTTTGTAAGCCTCATGACATTTGAACTCTAATTTGTGCATCTTCCAAAACTTTACATTAAAATATTTCTTCAATTTAAAGGCCACGTTTTGCATATAGACTATAATTTCATAAGAAAATTGTAAAAAAGAATAATGCTAAACTCCATATCCTTATGGCTTGATAGGTTCCTAAGCAATGTTTTAAATAGCGGGCTAAGCCCCTTAGCGACTGCCTCTTCCGAAGGCTAAGAAAGGCTATAGCGGGCTAAGCCATTTAACGGTTGAGCAAAAAATATGTCAAAAATCAGGTAATTTTACACATAATAAACATAGAAGATAAAGACATTACAAATATCAATTATCAAGTAACTAGGGATAGATAGTTCAAAGTCTTACTAATACATCAGATTACAGCTTCATAGTTCATACATGATACATCACATAGACACATACACACATGAGTTCAAAGTTCAAACAAGGTTGACAGACGTTACACTGCATACCAACTAAACAGTGACATATAGACAAACAAACATAAGGCATGGAGGCATAGGCCATAGTCTGATACATATCAGTACATCACACATGCATTTCAGCATCTGAATAGTTTGTTGTACTCATCTAATCATCTTTAGTATCAGTAGATTCCATAGCATCTTGATTTTCCTTTGATTCAGAAGTAGAGGCTACAGACCGAGGCTTCGTCAGAGATGTCATGGTCCTGAATTTCTTCCTAGGGCACACAGGTCTTTTCCTTTTGGCTTTTGCTTGTGATGTTGATGCTCCCTGTGATGCTCCTTCTTGTGCTTTTGTTGTTGTTTATGCTCATTCATGATCTTCTTGACTTTGATTTGCATTTGGTTCTAATCTAGTAATGGACTCATTGTTGTCATCCTCCGGCACATCATTTATTTCTTTTTCTATGAGATCTCTACTCTTGTTCCCTTTCTTATGCCTTAGTTTGGAGTTAAATTTGACAAATACAAGGTCTCTCGTCCTGGAATAGATATGATACTCTACTTGCCTCATGGGATAATTGTCAATTTATTTACAGTAAAGAGTAAACCATTCAACAGCAGCGGGAGCAAATTAGTAAAGCGTTTAAACGGGAAAGGAAGGAACTTGCCTGTTTGCTCTGGTTGGGACATGGTCGCCATCTCGCCGCTCCCCAATAGAAGTTGCTCGTCGCCCCGTAGCCGCACTTCGAAGACGGCCGCTTGCAGATCGAACTCACAGCTGCTTGTCGACCAACAACAGCAGCTGCTACCACGTCGCCGCGGCCGCGAGAACTACTCTCGTTGAGAGCTGAGAAGAAGGCCACCGCTGGTCGAAGCAACAGCAGCAGCCACCGCCGATCGAAGCAACTCCTCGCGTCAAGACCGCCGCCGCCAATCGAAGCAACCGCAGCCGCCGCCGTCTGAAGAAACACGAGACGAATGGGTGGCTAGGGTTACCAGTCTCCAATGCGTATATTGACTCAATTTGGGCTGCCATGTGATTTGGGCCGCCATGTGATTTGGGCCGCAAGGTGCTGAAAGCCCATGCTCAGGCTGGCCTGATAGCGGCGCTAAGGTGCCTCCATTTCAGCGCTATTTCACCGACTATTAGCTGCTATTAGCGGCAAATTCCATTTAGCGTCAAAAGTGGCGTAGCTTAGCTGTGGAGCTCCCCAAAGGCTAAATAGCGCTACAGCGGGGGCTAAATCCCGCTATTTAGAACATTGTTCCTAAGGCTAGTCTTAACGGGAGTGTCATCAGAGTTTTATTTTTATTTAATAAGCTGCCACATAACTGTTTTTTTAATATGATAGTGTTTTTAAGAAAAGGAAAGAAATGAGTTTCACGGGAATGAAACTCTCTTGCCACGGTTACCAACTTTATATGAGTCATTAAATTAAATATCTATATAACCATAGAGCTCTTCATTGAAAATAGATGTTTCATCCATATATCATTTCATTTCATTATATATGACACGACAGCCTTAGAAACAACGTATAAGACTCTCCGGGCCTAAGAGTTACCGGCTCATACCTTAGAGCCATGCCCTCGCTGACCATACGTCCATACTTTATACGTGCAAGTTAGTATGTTTGCTGCTATTAGTGCGCTAGAAACGATGTTTGTTGCATGAATTGATGTACATATATATACATGCTAGTCTTTTTTACTCGTACATACAAACGTCTCGCTCCGATAGAGCCAAGTTTATGGGAAAAGCAGGATTTTTTTTTCATCCTAGGAGCTAGATTGTGTGACTGCTTTTGGATTCCCCAATGAAGCTAAACCATTAATCCGCTGATCCATTCAAGCAAATGGCGCATCCACAGAGCCTATCCATACCAGAAATGACAACGACTGCTTTTGGATCCCTCAATCAAGCTAAACCATTAATTCACCCAACCATTCAAGCAAATGGCATATCCACCGACCCTATTGTTAGCGGCCCTTAACGACCAAATCCAACCGTCAACTAAGACATAAAAATGGGAGAAATTAACAAACTTAAACACATATGCATTTACCACTAACCAAGTTCCAAATGTATTTAGAAGATTATTATCTTACAGGACATATGCACAAATACATGAGAGAATACACCAAAAGGCATTTCCCGACGTTGATTTGCGGAAAGGAATAAATAGAAAAAGCCCATCAAATCAAAGCATATGGGCAAAGTACCAACCGAGGAACGGTCCAGGCCCACTCCAGAGCCCACCACGCGAAGGCGGTGGCGAGAGGAGCTGATCAGGGGTCGACCGACCCCTAGGGTCGACCGGCCCCCACCGGGCGCTGCTCGCGTTCTCCTACCACGTGGCGCTCACTGGTGTTCTTCCCATGGCGGTGGCATGCGGACTTGCGACAAAAATAGCCACGAACCGACCTCCCCTTACTCCACCGCCTCAATGCATGGAGGCATGCAAAGAAACACAACTCCACTCCATCTCCACCGTTGATCCTATGACGGTTTGATCCAAGGGCCATGGTGAAGAAGCGCACGGATCGCTGACGTGGCATGTTGAGCGGCCTCCATTCCTCCTCTCCACCTATAAAAGGAGGCCTCCCCCTCCTCATTTGAGACACCAACACAACACAAAAGGAAGACACGATGTAGCAAGAAGAGAGAAGAGCTCCATTCATATTTTAGTTCTCTAGCTAATTCTAGTGTAGGGAGTGAGTGAGTACGAGTGGGGAAGTACCGGAGTTGTCGGCTACCTCCACTTATGTACTTGGGGCCCCTTGTACACTTAGCGGAAGGAATACCGGGAATCGTCGGCTCCTCTCCACTTGTACCTCTATGATCCGAATACTACTTGGAATATAAGGTTTGGGTTTATCTTCGGTGGTGAGTTCTACTTTAAGTTAGTCTTTTTCATTATTTGCTTTCGGCTTCGTCGTCCACTCTCATAGCGGATACTCTAGTAGAGGGCCCTAATAAAGACGGATAACCTTGATCAACGTTAGAGTAGTAGTCGATATCGTAGACGTGGTGTCTAGGCTATAGGCTACCTTCGTTTGCCTTGTTTCCCATGGTTGAGGGGTAGGCGGCAGGTGGTGATAGCCCTGTCCGTCCTTCGTACTCCCCCACGTCCGGGTTCGACGTAGGCTACAAGCCGGTATCGCCTGGCAGACCAGGTGCGCTCCGGTGCCCGAAGCAAGTCTATAGTGACAAGTTATCTTATCTTAGGATCTCTATCCCTACAAAACCTCACTACCTGAGCTATCCTTCTTGTTACCTTAGGTGATTTAGCTAAGAGAATTCTACACATCCGTTCCTCGTGGAAATACGATACCCTGAATACTTTCGGGTGAAATGCTACCACGGTAATTCTGTGCGCTTGCGGATTATTTCTGTACGCATTAAGAAATACCAACACCTATCCATACCAGAAATGTCTTTGGGCAACTTTTATGTTTAGTCCATAGGATGAAGCAAGAGCCTGAGATATAATTTTGTTGCGCAAGAAATAACATGGAATACCACAAAATATAGTTCAATTCCATGCACATCCAATCTAGCAATCAAAACCCTAAAAATGTAACTCCTTGACTAGTTCTTGGTTGTTCGCTACTACCTATCAATATTGTTCATGCATTGTCTAAAATTGGAAGTGCGGCTAGTCTTTTTGATCGATTGAATGACAACACCATTACCTTAAAGATATTACATGTTTGCTAAGTGTTGAATAGTATATCGATTTTTATTAATCTATATTGGTGATGACATTATGAAGAAATAGCAAGGCAAGGTGTAGAAAGGGAATGTGACACAATCCGTTCTCACTGTGATGGCATGCATTTATATTACCGAGTATCCTTAAAGCAAACGGAGACAAGGCAAGTTAAGTTTTTTTTAGCAACACCGCCCTCTTTATTCAAATAGGAGGATTGCACATATTACACACACCATCAGGTGGATTCAAGAACCACACATGCCGTCCTACCTTGGCAGCTACGAGCTATTCCATGAACATCGGTGTTTGAGTCCCTATGTTCACGTAAACTTGATACTAAAAGCTGTCCTCCTCGACAAGGCAAGTCAATGTATTGGATAATCTCTAGCAACATACGGAGTAGATAAAAAAAATCTCTAGCAACATAGCCTCAACGGCCCAACCCAAGCGGTCCAGGCCCCCGGCCCTCCCGCCGGAAGCCAGATTCAGTAACTTTACAGAGCCCTCAATCTCAATCGTCCAGCTAGCATCCAACGAGTACAGCCAGGACTTTGCTTTTCAGCCCAAACCAGAAGCACAGGCATTACA